ATCGAGCCAGATTGTGAAAAGAGGGGGCCTTCTAGGAATCCCAGAAGGTCTTTGCCTGCTTTGAGTCAACTTGCGTGTGTATGTGCTACTGCTCAAGATCGGCCGATTGGTGGTAATTTTTTGAAATATGTAGGCCGGGAAAATTGGTCTAATTAGTTGCAATTGTTGAAATATCCAACTCATTAAGACTGTGATACCTGGATATATGAATCTAGAGGTAAACGTTATCGCACTATGACCTTACCGTTCTAAAGACGTTAAAATGGTACATATTTGCTCATTTTTGAGCTGATCATAAAAAACCCGAACGTAACACATCGCAAAACAAATTCCTTTTGATTAATCTATAATAAGACATTGCTAAACGAATTCACTATCATTCTATCTTTGAACGCGATTATTTGACAGCACACCACCATAATAAAGTTACAGACATGTGCTTTCCAGTTCCCTTTACCGATATGTAATGCGAGAATGAAAAGAGCGTTTAAAAATTTACCTGTACGCTTGCTGGTCGTCTTCTGTTGAAATCGCAGTGAGTGATGCGAGGAAAGTGACCGGTAACCTTAAGTAACACTTGTAAAGAACTACATAGAGTGAAAATTACCAAAACACAAGATCGGCGCTAACCTGCCAATCGTCTCCTCTCATAAGATCGCCAACCAATGCTGGTCCCCATAGAGTATAAAGTGGAGAGTCGAGCAGCGAATTCAGTGCGTACCACTAGAAGAAGAAAAACAGAAGCACACAAAATTATTGTGGATTCACTGTTTTATGAGCTCAAAGCCTTTTTTCGTAGGTACCTGAATCCATGCGTTTACGGATTGAATTACGGTGGATACTGCATAGTAGAGCGCCATGTCTCTACTTCCCTTACGGCGAGCGAGGCGCAGTCCATCCCAAATATAAGCGGAGGCTCGGCCTTCGAAAGCTGCGATTCTGGCTTAAACTAGCACCTCCAATTTTTAAACGACTCAGTAATTTAGGATAGCTAACCCTTGAAGGTAGCATCATTAGTTTTCAGTGCAGTCCAAAAACCATCGACAAATTGTATTGCGCCTGCGAGGTCGTATCCTAAAAAAGGGCATTTAGCAATATTGGCGCTTGTGCTGATCAGTCTGCCCACCGCATAAGGCAATAAGTGATTTCCATACGAATCGTGGTAGATAGAAGAGAAAGGCTTGCACAGCAAGTATGTATGGGACCTAGAAACTTGAAGTAGACGAAATATTTGAATTAAGTAACATAGGAACTAATTAGAGTCACTGTTTGAGCTAGGATTTTGGCATACAATCTGATTACAAATTGAGAATTTTCTTTAAAGTTTCAATCTCCGTCAAAGCTAAATTTTAATGCTAATTTACGCTCGTAAAATTTCTGAAGAACAAACATG